CCCGGCATGAGTGTTCTTCACACCACACCACGGGGCGTCTGGAAATGAGCAGGAAGGTGGAAATCCATAAATAACATGAATGTAGCATTTAAAGAACTGTAACATCAGCAAAACATTTCTATAAAGTGAGCACAAACCTATTTTAATCTAATATATTCCCTCTTATTGGTGATACAGCTTCAACAAGAATATAAAACCAATGACTCCAGAACTTTATGAAAACTTTATATTAAAGGTTCACTGTGTGATCAAACTCAGGCCACATTCTACCAAAAGCTTTAAAATAAACAGACGGTGTGACTCACCTGTTTCTATCATGAGCCTCTCTGTGGGGATCGACTTCATAGCTTCAATATTGGCCTCTGTTTTCAAGGAACTGAAAGATATGGAAGTGAGACTCAGTGTGATTCAGGTCACGCTCAAGGAAACCGAACAACATTTCTCAGATTATCCCACCATCCATTTATTCCAATATAGAGGTCCAGGTCAATGAGAGCAGCAGCGTCTTCTGCAGTTCCATCAAACGAGTGGACCTGAAATTCAAATGAGCAATAACGCAGAAGAATTATGATCAGATTCATTCATAAAGTGACTCAGTGGCTTTTTAAATATGCAAACAATGTTTTGCAAATTAGTTTTATTGAATGAAATCAGGTTTGTTTGTGAATTTATCCCAACAAAAGTATTAACTTCAAAGAATTTTACATTTTCGGTCCTTAATCTGTTCAGTTTACATCGAGTATTGTAACCTGTCACAGAAATAATTCACTTTTACAGAGGTTGTTTTTGCATCTCCAGGATTTGGAAAGCATATCGTCCTCCGTCTATGATATTTAGATATCATATCATCCTTACCACCCCTCCAACACATCGGTCTCGATTTCTCTTCATGATGTCTGTGGAAACAAAAACAGTTGAATGTTTCGCATAAAAATCTAATTCCTGAAACAGATCAGGTGTCTGCTTCACAAACCTACCCATGAACTCCTGATGGGAGTTTCTGCAGTGGAGGAACATGGGCAGCTTGGTCTCCTCCACCAGGTCAAACTGCTTCTCAAAGTATCTGCAACACAGCAGAAGGAGCAAATTGAGGCACAGGAAACAAAAGTCCACGAGGGCCATTTAAGCTAAAGGCCATTTTCTTATAGACTTCTAAAGAAAGCAGGTTAAAGGTACTTTCACTTTTCAGACTCGGAAACAATCTGCAAGTCTGTGGAGTCATAAATGAACCATAATGTTTATTAGAAGGAAATCTTCAGGGGAAAAACGCTTTTAGACTTTTTGGCACATCTATCAGGTTTCACTGGTAACTTAAAGGATGCAGTCACTATTAAAATTCCCAATGTGGCCTTAAAAAATGGCCGCCGAGTGGCAAGTTTTGCTTCTAGAAGGCCTTTTTTCAAAACTTGTGAAAATCACACAAACGTACTTGAGCTGAGTTTCTTTTGGGCAAAATTCCAGCCTGTCAAAATCTGAAATGAGGAGAAAAGAAACATATTCACGGTTGAACGGTAAGAGTGGGTAACCCACAGAGTGAAAAATAAATAAGGTGCTCGTGTACACACACCCAGTCCACACTCTCCGATGGCCACCACCTTTCCTCTGTGTGCTGCTGCCAGCTCCCTCAGCCCAGTTAAATACTGGGATTCTCCATTCTGCTCAAACTCGCCGCACCGGGTGGGATGGCAGCCGACCGTGCAGTAGAACTCATCTGTGATGAAGGAGGGGGCT